ACTTTTTCTTATCCGTTTCTCTGTCGCTTCCCCCCTCCCGAAATTTGTTAATTCTGTCCTCTCGGATATTTTACTTTTCTTCCAGCTTATTTTGGTTGGGCCAAGTTGGTATCAATCCAAAATTTAAAACAATTCCTGTGCTTAATCTGCTTGGGTGAGATTTTTAGATGTTGATGCAGTGGTTCAGTTGGAGTTTTGGTCCTAGTTAACCATATGACCAATTGGGCATTTTGATCCTTTTGATAATGATATGCAACAACTGTATTGTTAATTTTATATCGGTTCTATTCAACCCCAATCCTGAGAGGAAAAGCATCGAAGTTTATACTGATTAATTGATTACTGAATTTGTCAATTTCAGGCGCCAATACCTAAGCAATGCAGTTCTACAGGCCAAGAATGCTAGCAATACTGATAGTCTGGCAGGCTCTGCCAAGGGTGCTCTTGACCGTGGATTGTTAGATTTACTTGAAGGCAAGCTCGCAGTTCTCCAGTTCCAGATAAAAATAAAAGAGGAGCTGGAGGCTATAGCTTCCAGAATGGAATTGTCTGCTGGTGCATCAGAATCTGTTGAAAATGGATCTGTCCCTAATACAAGTGTTACTGCCGATGCAAGTCTTGTGAAGGCTGCAGAAGAGAAGGCTAAAGAGCTATCTTTGGATCTAAAAAGCATAACTCAACTGTATAATGAATATGCCGTCCCCTTCGAACTTTGGGAGGTATTCTCTTACTTCTTGTTTTCTGCTCAAAATATTGGAGTTACTTTTGTAGTTCACTTATTTGGAAAAAAAAATGAAATGTTGAGTTTAACGTGTATGTTCAATCCTGATTGGATGCCCAACCTTCAAATCAATTATCAAGCTTTGGATAGATGGTCAACTATAGCAATAAATGGATCAATGGTAAGGAAGGGTGGAGATTCCAAAGTTTGATCCTAGGCCTGAAAGTCTATTACCAAAGTTAAACAATTTGGCTGAATGGTTATCTATCCCAGTTAATGGATAAGCTTTGGAAGATGGTTAACTATGCAATAAGTGGCTCAGTAATTTTTATTGCACATGTGTCCTCTTGTCTCTTGATCTTTGAAAAGGAAAATAAAGGATAAAGATGTTATGGTTCTTTTGTTTTTCTCTTGGGCTGTTCATCAGGTGTTCAATGTGGGGAATTTGCCCTCTCTTAATTCCTCTATTTTTGGCTCTTTCACATTTTCAGTTTCCTTCCATTCATTAAAGAAATTAGACCCCAAGTTCATCCATTGTATGTGTTTTCACAGTCACGATTATATATATGAAATGATCTTTACTTTATGCTATTCTTCTGTGAGAGAAATGAGCCAAAGAAAGATAATTTTCCTTAGTAAAATTGATGCAAATAAAAGGTTATTTCCATCAAAATGATTATCCTTTTGTTTTGTTGCTTAGCTGAATCTTGCCATCTTTCTTTTTGTGATGGTACTTTGTTTTACTTTGTTGTCACCTGAGCTCTTGTTTTGCTTGTTTGTAGGGTTTAATTTTCCCATTTTTACCAATATAATTTTTCCTTCATTATGAAAAAAACCAATGACATTTTTCTCTTTGCATCTTTTCTTTCAGATTTGTCTGGAAATGTTATACTTTGCAAACTATTCTGGTGATGCTGACAGCAGCATCGTAAGAGAAACATGGGCAAGACTTATGGATCAAGCTCTTTCAAGAGGTGGGATTGCTGAAGCTTGTTCAGTTCTAAAGAGGGTTGGTTCCCGCATATATCCTGGAGATGGAGCTATTTTGCCGCTGGATACTTTATGTCTTCAACTTGAGAAGTCTGCTATGGTATATTTTCATCTGATTAAATTTATTAAGTGGGCTATTGACTATATCTAAGAAAAAAATTGCTGATTAGGAACACATATTTCTACTAATGAATGGAACGTATACTGGCTGAACGAAGGATAATATTTCTTGTGAAGTGATGCATTTATTTATTGCTTGACTCTCTTGCTCTTTCTTCATCATCTTTTGGTAGGAGAGACTGGATTCAGGAGTTGAATCTGTTGGGGATGAAGATGTAGCGAGAGCTCTTCTTGCTGCTTGCAAGGGTGCAGCTGAACCTGTGTTGAACACTTATGATCACTTATTATCAAATGGAGCTATATTGCTGTCACCCAACCTCAAATTACGCTTCCTTAGATCAGTGCTAGTGGTACTTCGTGAGTGGACTATGTCAGTGTTTGCACAAAGAATGGGTACAAGTACAACAGGGGCTTCTCTAATATTAGGTGGCACATTTTCGGCGGAGCCGACAACAGTAGCTAACAAAGGGATACGAGATAGGATCACAAGTGCAGCTAACAGGCAATTTCTTTATACCTCTTCACTCCTAATGAAATGTGTTATTGTACACAAATACACACACTATCTCTTTCCCTTGTGATGATACGTAGCAAATGGTGAATCATCTTCTTGCCCTACTTGTCCTTTTATCTAATGCTACAGACTATAAGAAGACTATATTTCCATTTTAAGTAATGGAATCATCTTCTTAAATTGTTTGATCCATTTAAGAACCAAACAATTTAGGTTTGCTTTGACATAAATTGTTTGGTTCTTAAATGGATCAAACTTTTTAAGAAGGAACTGTTATCCTGTTTAAACAGAATAGACAAAACCAGCTTAATGGTTAGTATTTGATTAAATCCATCATCCTATAAACATAAATATGTTTAAAGGAACCAATCTTGCAATACATAGTTACTTTTCTAAAAATGTTGATTTAACAAAAGTTTTAATATGGTGATAAAATAATTAACAACTTATGGAACCAGATTGATTTTTTAATCCTTTGTAAATGTACTTGTGTGGCACCCCTTTCAGCGCCTCGTAATGATACTTCTGCTCTGAAAAATTAATGTTATGATATTTTATTTAGTTAGTTTTGTGTTCATATTATTGTTTGATGCTTGTATTTTTTGTGATTATTTTACGCTTATACTATCTTATAGTTTTAGCTTTTTTAAACAAACAACAGATTTGAAATGTCAGCTATGGTTAGAATTGATTAAAAGAGTTTTTGTTACTTTATAAATAGATTAAACATATTAAATCAGTTTTCAATTCATTAATGTGTTATTTATCTTGTTAGATAATTGAGTCTAAACAGTTAAACATGCGAGCATATTTGTGAGCATGTTGAATTTGCATTTCAAAATAATGACAAAATTATTAAATAGGTTGGGTTTGTGTTTGGGATAGAACTCTAATTTTTGTCCTGGTTTTAAAGATTAAGACTGAAATGTTATCCTTCAGGTTTTCATGCAAATTTCATGTAAAAAAGTTGCTCAAAACTCAACTCTAAATTATAAAGTTAGCAGATTTTCTTCCAGGCTGGGTTTGCTAGGAAATTAAAAAATTCCAATATTTCATGTTTCACTATTGTGGCACTCAATTAAAATGTGTGTATTAACAGTCATTATATGGCCGACCCCCAAAACCAGAGGATTATATGGCTGATTTTCAATGTGGAGTTTCCTTTTGCTGCAGATATTCTTTTTAGTTTTCAGGCCCATACTTAATTTTTGAGAGTGTGAAACTTCCTGGACATTTAGTATTTCTCATGTCAAATATGTCATGATTGTTCTCCCTTTGGTGGTATGATGATTATGAGCTGCCACTGAAAACAAAAGAAACTGAAGGCATGCAGTTTTCTGGTGTTCCAATTTTCTTGGATCGGTGGTGTTATTTGATATTTTCTTCTTGTTCTTATTGTTTTTGTACCGTGAATTAATTTCCTTCTCTTCAATTTTGGGAAAGCAGGTATATGACTGAGGTGCGGAGGTTAACCCTGCCACAAAGTTTGACGGACACTGTTTACCGTGGATTCCGAGAACTTGAAGAGTCTCTAATGAGTCCTTTTTCTTATGACCGGTTTTGATTGTATTCTCATTGTATGTTGTATGGGGTATTTTATAGTTCTATGTAGCCCTTGAAAATAATTTCAACACGAATTCTTTATGTAACATTATGAGTGATAATTCTTTTAGTATAATACCATGAGTATTTGAAATCTCATGCATATTTCCTCTTTAACATCAACGGTATCTTCTATCAGCTTATTATCTGCAACAACAAATATTTAATAATTGTCATTCCATCTTCTATGAGCCTGTATTCAAGAATTACGACAACAATTTAGCCAACATTTTGAAGTGAAAAATCTCTAGTGCTTACTTGTTTTGGGTCTTGAATTCTCTTTCTTTACTTCTTTTTTTCTTGTGTTAATATCACCGGGTAATATTTATGTCAAATGGATTCTTCTTTATGATCTTTATTTTTTTTTTTTTACTAATTTTTCTATATGATCCGCATGGAAAAAACATGCGTTGATGATTTATCAAAAAATGTCAGATGTTAAAAAATTTGAAGTTGAAAGTGTTAAATTTTATGACGTACAGAATTAATATACATATTAATTTAAAAATATAGAATTAGATTTAACACAAAATTGATACAGGTACTAAATGGAAGAAAAGTAGACTCAATTTGTACTTATAGGTTGAAAGTTTTCTTCTCGGAGTCAGAAAGGTTACTCACGGATGCCGCGCATTCAATGACTGTCTCCAACGCTGCTAACGCTCTCATATCTTCGTCTTTAGTCTCTTGGAAACTTGTAATCTCTCTCTCTCTCTCTCTCTCTCTCTCTCACACACACACACACAAGTTCAACTAAGAATTAACTATGGGAGCTAAATTCATGGAAGCTTCACTTTCACTCTCGTTCATTCTTTTCTTAAACCTTTAACTATAAGCTGGTCTCTCAATCCATCTGTCTCAATCTCTGTAAGTTGTAACACGCTTTTATGACCCTAACAGTATAATCAGATTATCTAATATAAGTATGTGCATCCCATTCCTTATTTTGTAACAGACTGGTGGATTTCAACAAACTCTAGCGGGATGTATTCAGCGGATCGGGAAGACACTGCACTCCGGCAAGGATTCAATGGTGAAACTATGGCCGGAACTTGCTGGGAAAGGAAGGTACTTCGATTTCAGGTCCAAAATCATTCCAGCGTTCATTGTTTTCGCCGAGAAAGAATCTCCTCTCTGCACCACGCTATGTAAAGAAGGGTGCAAGGTTCGAACTGTTGAGCACTTGCTCTCAGCTCTGGAGGCTAAGGGCGTGGACAATTGCAGGATCGAGATTAAGAATTTGGATTCCGAGGATGCAGAAGTTGAGGTTTTTCCCGGAAGCTAATAGTGGTTTCTTAAGATCTTGGCTTATCAGTGAATTTTGTGCAAGATATTCTGATACGTGATTTTAATTACTAAGTTCTGTCACTGACTCACTAGACTTAATTGTATAGCCATTAAATCCAGATAGATTCCAAAATGTTGCATTTGTTATATGGTTCTGCCGAATCATGCTGAGCATTGTGTTGTGTGCATTAAGATGAATTTTCATGTCTAGGGGATTCATGCTCTCTTATCACTTTACAAAAGTTACTTGGGAAAACGACCAAGTCAAAATGTTGAACCCTACTGCAAATACAACATAGGGAGTTTGTAACGTTTATGACCATAATGCTGGCTTTGATGTGCATGATTATGTTTCGGGAGCCTTGCATTCTTCTGGATATCATTTACCCCTGTTAAATTTGTTTGGAAAACCAGTGACTAGAATTAACCGATAATCTGATTACAGGTTCCTATTTTTGATGGGTCAGCAAGTGAATGGTTAAATGCAATAGAGGAAGTTGGTGTCACAACGGCCCTGGATGAATGTGGCGGAAGGGTCGGGAAAATGGCACCACATTTAAATGAACCTATACATGTGTGTAAGAATGATTCCTTTTTGGTTGCATTCCCTGCTCCAAAAGTGCACACCACATATGGAATTGACTTTAATCAGGTACACATTCATGAACTAGTAATTTCTTTTTTAACAGCCGGGCGTATGAAATTTTAAATAGTGAAGATTAAAATAATAAAGACAAAGCATTCTATCCTATTTGTTCTGGATCACTTTGAAAGCTGTTTGAAATTTGTTCCTGCTTATTGTTTGACGTGCTTATTAGTCATTCCAGGTTCCTTGGATTCATCAACTCCATCATTTATGTGATACTTTGCATAGCATTTTGTGCTTGAAATTTGTATAAATTGGAATTAGGAGTAACTTTTTCCAAGTTGGTATAAATGCTTCTGCAGTTCAATGTTAGACTGTATTAGTATTCTTGTTTGTTTCAGAAAAATTGTGCTAGATGAGGAGGGGCATAATACATGCAAAAGGCCGAGTGTTCAAACAGAGACAAAAGAGACACCATGGGCCCCGGGCTTTCTGAGGGACAGTAAAAAAAAAAAAAATATAACCTATATGAGGATAACATGTCAGCTTAGACAAGTGAGTATATCAGGAGCCTTTGACGTGTACTGCAGCAATAGAATCAGTAGCAGAAATAGGAATTTAGAGAAGGATAGTCAGAACAAAGGAGATAGAAGAGAGAGAGAAATGAGGAAAGGGAAAGAGTAGAAGAGAGAATTTCTGCCAAATTCACAAGAAATTTTCTGATATAGATTAGATTTGATTCGGAAAATATCATCCTATCTGAAGTTCAGGCTACAATTTTCTTTGTATACCTCCATCAGAAGGAAAACCAAAACAAACCCTAATCAACCTGCAACAGAAACAACCATGACAGATTGGGAATCTAAGAGAAACTAGTTCTAATGCAGGTAACCATTTCTTTCGTCCATCCTCTGTCAAGCCTGAATCACTAGACTTGTCACCATCCTTTAGCTAGATGCTTTTAAACCGATAAGGGCTTGGACCCTCTACTACCATGCTCATCTTTGTCCTCATATTCTCTGGTTATGACAGAGTACTAATTTAAATTCAGCTAGTATTCCATACAAAGTCAGTTGATTTAAGATGGAGATGTTGTAAGGAGAAAATGAAGCCTTTAACAAGCATTGTCGGTTAAACCTCAAAACCAACAAAAAATGTTTTGGTGCTTTTACATGGTTGTATAGAGAATTACCATCTAATCCCACCTCAACTGGATACGCCTCAGAGGTCTCTTCATGACTCAGAAAGGATTTGCAACTTTATCCAGAAATGCGATGGATAACGCCTCCAATCTTACCAAGAAAAAAATCTACAGATGGTGATATACTGCAAATTCTTTAGAAGAAATATGCTACTATATATATCTGAATGTCATGAAAGGATTTGGAAGTTGAACCATATAGTAGATACTATACATATCTAAATGGCATAAAAGGATTGGCAGTACAACCATACGGTTGGAAGAGATTTAAGTTTTAGCTATTTGCTTTAATAGCAAGCTGATCGTGCTGTTTGCAAATATTTGCCAAACTGTAGTTATAGTTTTACAAGCAAATGCTGCCAACTTCTTGCTGCTACTTTTTAGGATTATCCTTAGAATAAAATATTCAAGCTTTGCAGGTTTCTGCATAACATCTTTATCATTGGTAAAAGGAAAAATTGAATTGCTAAAAAGAGAACTCAAATATTCTTCAATTTCATTTTTTTATTTCTGTTCACTTTATTCAACTGTTGCAGGTCTCTGCCATTGGCTGCCAGTGGTTTTCTTCAGCACCTTTGGGTGAATTTTATGCTAACAATATTGCTTCTGCAAGAACCTTTTGTGTCTACGAACAGGTCCCTTCCACCTATCTTCGGCTATCCTCTCTTTGTATGATCTATTAGTTTATCTCTTTACTATTGCATGAAAGTTGAAAGTAGACTTGATAATTCTGAAGCTTCTGTTTTTTAGAAATGTTGCTCCTTGCATCTACTGGAACTCAACTATCTTACACTGGTCAGAGGCAGCTCTAAGAGAAGTTTCCTTTTACTGATAAGTCAGAGGTGTCCTAATGCACCTACTGGCTGAAACTAGTTTATTAAACTGGCAAATTGAGGAATTCCCCACAGAATAATCATTTTAACTTTTATTGATTGACCTTGTAACTTCCCTAAAACAGACGACATCACATAAATGCATCAGGTAACTGGTGCTGAAATCTATTCAGCAGCATATACCACCAGCTCGAAGTTTGAAATTCTGTGTTTATTTAAGTTGTCTTGATGTTCTTGTTCAAGGCAGTTAGTTTCTTTTGTTTCTCTTCATCAGAATTGGGGCATTTTTGAAGTGTTGTTACTCTTCCAAGTAGTATGATTTTTTTTTGTAATGCTTGATGATATTTGACAAATAACATCTAAGGTCAGCTTAACTAAAACTTAACTGTGATATATGTGGTTAGATGTACTTAACTATTTACTATATATTCTTTTGCAATACTTAATCAAGTACCACTCCAAAGAAATACACTGGTTTTCTTTCTCAGAATGGAAGTATACATAGAGCTTATTGCTTATAACTCAGCAAAAAATGGTTAGAAAATGAACTTGCAGAATTTGTTAGTTCTGGTCCTACATGTAAGAGCAGGATGTTACCTTGCTTACATCTTGAACATACTTCTGATTTCTAGTTAATTGAAGGAAGTAAGTCCAGATGACTACATGTTGCTATATCCCATTATGCAGTGCACCTGCTTGTCAGTCTTGCTTGTAATATGTCGGGCAACCCAACCAAGGAATGCCCACTTAATGCTTGTTTAGTTGTTCGTTAGTGCTTCTTGCTGCCAATTCTTAGTTCTAGAGAATCCATGCAGGTGGAGGTTATGCGGAAAGCAGGACTTATTAAAGGGGGCTCAATAAACAATGCTATCATTTGTAGGTGAGGTACTTTTGTTCAGTTATTATAATATATTTGTAAGGAATGCTCTGCCAAAAGTTCTCTATTATTAGAGAAGTGAAAATGTTGAACTCCATTCCCCCTCCCCTCTCTTTCTCCCCTGCGTACAAGGGCGAAGAGCGGGTAGATGTAAAATGTTTCAAAGAATGGTAGTTACCATGCCAATTTAAATTGTTCTAGATGCTAGTACTGTGTTTTACATCTGAAAATGACCATGCATTTAGATTATGCTTAATTAAGTTCAGATGAGTAATTAAAAAATAAAATAAAATCATGAAACTTAGTTCAGTCAAATGTGGAACAAAAGTCCGTCAATTATTTGTTGTTCTCTTCCCGTTACTTTTGTTGGATACTTAAATTTACCTTCTTTCTTCTGCAGTGCTGATAAAGGTTGGTTGAACCCACCTCTTCGTTTTGATGATGAACCCTGTCGACATAAGGTCCTAGATCTTGTCGGCGATCTGTCACTTTTTGCACAATTTGGCAATCAGGGTCTTCCAATGGCCCATATTGTTGCTTTTAAGGTATGACTCTTGTCTTGTCTTCCTTGTTTGGCAATTTTTTAGATGATCTTTAATCCCCATATTTAAAGTACCCTTTGTTGCTCCTAGATATTCTATCTTTTTTTTCATTATTTTAATAGTTCTCTTTCAACCTAACTGGTGGGGATTCCTATAGCCTTTTGTCAACGTCACAATTTTTTAGGTGCCTTATAATCGTCATCTTTGTTTCCTAAATGCTTCGTTAATTGTCTTTCCTTACAAGGTTAAATGGCCTTATATGAAAGGTTAATGAAGAATTACTGTTAACTTTCAACTGAACCAATTAAAAGATTAAGAATTAAGACACATTCATTCCCGGTGCTTACAGTGTCTCCGCTTCTGCAGGGGGGCCATGCATTGCATGCCGATTTTGTGCGCCGCTTAGCAGGAATAGCATAAATGGAAAAGAGCTTCTTTTGTACTCCTCCACAGAGAAAGTTGCACCATACTAATTTAAGTTGCCCGAGGGGCAAAGAGCGTGCTTTTGAATAAATGCCCCTTCTTTTTCTTAAGGAAAAATTAAAAAAAAAAAACATTTTGTTTAGTACATAAATCCCAGTGATAATAGTCTTAAGGAGGAAATTTTTGCCATTTGTTCATGGCTCGCTCTTAAATTATTAGATGTTTGGAAGAAAACTGATAGTAGTGGACCTAGGAATGGCACTATACACTGCATTCATCTTTGTTTTCCCTGTAAAAACCGGCTGTTAATCATGTGCTTGACTTGGGACTCTGGGAGTTCGTTTTTGTAAAACTGATATATACACACACACACACAGATACACACCCAAGCGCTCCCCAGCGCATGCATATTAATTAAAATGCACAAGGATCCATAGCACACAGAATTGAAGGACCTTATGAAAAGAGGAATCAGCTTCTTCATAAGTCCAACATCTTCCAAGGAGCAAAAGAAAGAAAAGAAAAACTGTACTGCATGAACAACCTATAACAAGTTCAAAAGAAAGAAAGAACATATCAGTTTATCATCTCTGATATCCAGGCATGGAAGTGAAGATAAAATACATGAAGTCAGCATTTTCCTTTAAACTGAGTTACTATAGAATAACTACAGGACATTTAAAACTGACTACTGCATTTTTGAATAACTGAAACTGATATGGACACAAAGAATCAAGAACAACTCCAGACGACTACCAACTCATAATAAAAGCTTATGATCCCAAATAGTTTAGCTCATGCCAAATAGGAGCAGGAAATGCTTAATTCTTTTCTTGCCTAAATATATAGACAAAGTGATGGGGGAAACCTGATCATCAGAGGGTGTTGTTCTCTTCGTCACAGGGGTTCATTTCCCTTGAGAATATTGTACTTGCAGAGAGGACATGTTGCATTCATCTTAAGCCATTTCACAATGCATGCAGAATGGTAATGGTGATTGCAGGGGAGAGCATGGAGCTCTGCCCCATCATCGTATGAACTGAGGCATATACAGCATTCCTAGAGAAGAAAAAAAGATACAAATAAAAAAAAAGCATTAAAAGAGAGAACTACCAAATTTCTTTTACTGGAAACTATTTAACAAACAGATGCTAACAAATTGTTGGACTGAATGAAGTGAAGGGAAATCAGGAGGGAAATGCAAGATTCCCAAATGGCTGAAAATAACCTTACAATGCCCTCCAAAGTCTCATTTTTAAATTCCTGCAAATGGGGGCATTCTAAGGTTGATCGGACCTTCATCAGAATCTTCTGTTGTCAGAACTACACCTGTAACAAATTATCTAATGGAGATGTATAAATTATTTAGTGAACAGACATTTGGCAAAATTTCCCTTTCCATTCATTGTGGGCATAGAAGACATGTAAATGGCATTGATAATTTGTGCACATATATGAAAATGAAATAGGAAACTTAACAGGCATTCTGAAAGAAAAAGGTTGCAGTTCTAACCATATACAATAAAATGGAAATAAAAAATTAAAAAAAATCACAAAAGCAAACATGTACATGATTATACAAATACTTACCGCGTCCTCCACAAGAAGAATTCTTTCATTTGCCAAGTACCCGCTAGTTGTTTCTAGGGGAACCATTCTCCCCAATCCCCCATCAGGCTTGTTGTTATTGTTTAAGATTTCAAATCTATACTTTGGAAGGATACTTAGATCTGCTTCGGATGCACCTTCCTAAATTTGACAAGCAAGAAAATGTATCACCAAAATGACACTATAAAGTTGTAAATTCAAGATTTAATAGTGATTTTTTCTTCCTACCTGTCCTGCAACAGCATAAAGAATTGCAATAATGCATGGCAGGCAGCAACACAGAGCAATCCCAATCAGACATGCCAAAACAACACAAAAGATGGCAAAGAACACATCAAATGCCAGAAAAACCACAGCCAACCTGCACATACGAAGAATTAGAGATCCATGCTTTTTCAACTTCAGTTTGGAATATATTTCATGTGCATATACAACCACAATTAAAGGAAAAAGTACGAATATATTTCCGAATAACTAGATATATCATGGGTCAATTAAGGTTGAGACTTCAAGCTCCATTCCTCTCTAATTGAGATTGTAAAAGAAGCTTAGAGAAATAAAAAGTCAACTTTCAGCAAATAGCTAAACAAAGGTTTTATGCCTCTAAAATTAAAATGTAAATTTTTTTAAATGACAAATTGGAACATGAGAATGTTATTTTTAAGGTATAGCCAAGGAAACCAAGAACTAAACCTTAAACTAAATTCTGTATTTACATGAGATTGCTAATCACTGACTTAACAAATTAAAATCCATACTTGATAGAAATTTCTTCAATCCATGGGATTGGCAACTAAAAGTTACATGCAATGACGGAATGTTACATGTACTATTAAACAAATGCCATTTGTTTGAAGATATAAGTTAAGGCCATACCAGTACAAACGTGGAGCATTTTTAAGCAGGACATCGCCACCAGAGACTACCCAATAAAAGCCAACTATCCACCAGAGAAATGATGCCATTGTGTTCACCGACTCACATCGTTTAGTGACACTAAAACATCGATTGGAAAATTATCAGAATAATGACACAACCCTCTATTTCAGTTATCAAAGCTATGACAAGAAAAGTACTTATTGATGTGACTGAAATCACATAGAGGAAGTAGGAAAGAGAAATGATAACATGGTACCATGCATTGCAGTTTGTTAGAAGAACAAGCAAAAACTGTCAAGTGAAAGTCAACCAACACCAGAGAAAAACTTCAAGAGGATTCCCTTAATTTTTTGTCATGGGGTCATCATCTTTGTTCTATGGAGGAAAACGAACCTTGTGGGATAATTTGATTGACATATAAATTTTTATACATGGATAGCACTGTTGGTGCATATAGCAATATACATTCGCACTTTTTATTTCAGAAAAAAAAAAACATCAAGAGGAATTGTATATAAATTTATTTTTGTAAATAAATCTTTTATATCAGTGAGCTTATTTTCAAAGAAACATACTTGTGCCAGTGAGACATAAAGCCAAATCAAGGGATCCACTTTCTCCATTCTCTTCTCTCAGCAGGTTTCTATAGTTCAACAGGTTGTAAACTACCTTTCTGCATCATCTTCTAATTTAATGTGCTTTTTTAGGGAAATTTTTTTATTTGAGACCATTTTTGCGGTAAATATTTTTTTTGAAAGATAATGCTTTTGCTGCAGATTTTAATCATATAAGAAGTTCTTTTCCCAATCTTAACGTGAAAGAGGGTTCATATAAAGAGGCCACTAATATTATGGATGATTCTACAACCAAGAAACATGTAATCAAGGTTGACGAGCAAATATGATTATCATCCCAATCTTTTCCCAACTCAGTAAAGTAAAACTTGGGTTTGTGTGCTGCTGTTATTGTCTTGTTCTTGAAAGATTTTTTCAGCTTCTAGTTGCAAAGCTCTCTGGCCCTTTTTTTTTTATTGAGAAAGATGATACTTTTTTATTGATTGCTTCAGTGTAAGCAAGGGTTTTGCCTTTACCTATTTTGACAGGAAACCACCAATGAATCTTACATGGGTGAAGTGTCTCCGCTACACCCTATATAGGTGAGACTTAGCATCATAAGTTGATCATATACTTGATACTTCGAAAGGGTTTGTCCTTCTAACTTGTGATTTCTTCCCACCCACTCTCCACTTGCCTGAGAAGTGGCAATGCATGCTAAACTATTTTGACATCAAAATTTGAAAGTTCACATAATTCAGTTGCCTGAGAATGTCAAAACTAATAGATAAGATAAAAAAAAATTGCAGGAACCAAACATTTAGTTCCACAATCTCCAGCTCTAGCATCAAATCAAAACAGGGGGAAAAAGAACCAAGTCAAATGCAAACACAATTTGGCTCTAGAACCTAAAATTTTAAATTAGACTCATTCTAACGTCAGAAAAAAACAAGCAAATTTAAGACAAGTTCACATTTAATCAGCTCATATATCAAGATTATCGGAAAATTCAGCTAAAAACCAAACCATAAACAACGACAAACTAACCTTGATCCACTTGAACTTCCAAAACCCCTCTCACTGCTCTCCTCGTCATCATCCTCACTATAGCCAGCCACTTCTCCTCTCTCCGGATCCCTCGCTCTCCTCCTCATGTTCCTCCTCCTGTATTCCAACCATACCAGCACCACATGAACCAAACACTGCAACGCATAACCGCAGATCCACAACCTGATTGGCGTATTAGGCGGCCTCTCATCAGCCGTACAGACGAGCATCACCACGGAGACCACCACAAACGCAGTGTTCCACAACATGTCCAGAGCGACCACGGGCTTCGAGTACCCCCAGTCAGCGCGGCGCTCCTCCAACTCTCGCGCCGCTGTTTCCCTTACCAGCATGGATGGACCACGGCGGCCCGTGGCACGGCCCAGTAGAACCGCCAGGCTAGCATGCCTGGGCGAGGAAGGGTATGTGTTGTTGCCACTCTGACGAGGCCGGAGGAGCGGGGCAACGGATTCAGATGCCGGCACGGCGGCAGTTTCCGATGAAGACATTCTGAGAGATTTCGCAACAAAAAGGAACTAGGCGGAGAAGAAAGGCACCATAATTTGGGGATTGTGTTTGTTTTCACAGACTCTTGGAGGTAAGGAGGGTTTACTGGTTTATCGTTGAATGGTAGATGAGTCCTTCCAGAATAATTTCTTGTACCATCATTTTTCTCGTTCTACATTTCAACGTTGAAATATATATTTGGATATATCTTGTTTTCTACAGTGCACGCGGCGTCTATTGCCGTTAACTCTATCTTGTCAACTCAGGTAGATGAAATGTGTACAACAACGATTACTAGAAAACTAATTTGTGTTTAAGTAAAAAATAATTCGTCATAGTCATTAATAAGTGTAAAAGCAATTCGTTCGATCAGCATAATTTTGCAATCAATAATATTTAATCAGTTTTTATTAATTATTTAATTGTGCTATAATAAATCGGGGTACTATCTAATTTTTTCTTATATTCTGTTAAATGTAAATAAATTGATATCTAAGTTTAATCAAATCAAATAAGAACCCATATTTTAACGCTAATAATTGTAAACATTGGGTTTCAACTCTCCATAAGTCCATGGATTACCCTGGAAAAAGAATCTTAATTTAGTCATTTGCATGTCATGTACACGGTTAATGTTACAAACAGCAAAGCTCTTATGGAATTGAATTTTACCATTGTAAGAATTCAACCTACAAAATCATGCAGGTAGGTCATGAATCCGCACCCTAATGATTGCTGATTCCCTTTTGCAAACATGGCAGCCAAATGATCATATGAGATTTCTCTGGTAAAATTGTTTTTTCAGCACGAAGTCAATGAGTTTGTTGGACTCAGAGCTGCATCCGGGAAGAAGGTCATTTACGTTGTACAGCATAAGTCCAGATTCTTCATAATTGAAATTGTTCTCCAAGCAAGCTTCTCGTCTGCCACTGACCACGTGCAACAAAAGAAAACTGTTCTCGATTCATTTTGAAGTTTATCAGCTATCCGGTATGGGCAAGTTTCCTTCAAACACGGGGAGACTCGGAATGATTCCACTTGAAGATGTTCGCCAAAATCTTGGATGGTCTCTCCAGAAAGTTCAGTTGAAAGTCTCACTAACAACTGCTGAATCAAAAAGCTTTTGTCCTGCAGATCAAGAACAATACCTGTTGATGAAAAATTTATGCTCTCATCTTTTTGCCACCCGTAAACATCGACAGGGCAGCAGTACATGAACTGAGTGACGTGCTCTTTCTCTCCCAACAAGAACAAAAGTTCGTCTTTGTGAACAATCTTTGCCTTCTTACATTTTTCCATAACCAGAATTCCTTCACCAACTCTATCATCAGTTACCTGTAACCTTTGTATATCAGTTCTATTTTCCAAATCGTTCTTAGAGAACTTGAAGTTCGGGTTTGAGCAACTCCTAATGAACATGTCTGAAGCACTTGCTTTCACACAGTGTGTTGATGGAATGCACACAGTTTGTCCATTAGCAGGATCATAACATTGAATTCCCAATTCAGACATAATTTTTCCCTTGAGAGAAGCTATCTTAGGCTTTTCACCATGTACAAGCATCACATGCTTCGGGGAGAGAAATTTGATGAGATCCATAATTCCTTTTGAATCTGTATGAGGGCTGAAAGATAACTGATGAATCTGAAAATATAAAATACAAGTTCAGCAAAACATGCAGGTTAAGTTTCAAGATCAAGAAGAAACAATCACAATTGAAGAACATGGTTAAAATTCTATGACCAAAATGTTTCACACAAACCACCAACAAGAATGAAATACACCAAAAATCTATAAATCCAAACCAACATGAAGTGTCCAACAATATAGAACATTAGTCCACTAGATTCTTTAAGAACTATGACAACTATGAGCCAATACCATGTTTTTGTTAGGCAAACAAGTAGGGAAAAAGATGCGAGAACGGATGATAATATTGAGCAGAAAAAAATTTGTCTCAAAAGCTAAACTCGATTTCAAAGCTCTAAAAGTACAAACAAAACTATGGTTTGTTATAAACCTACAGAAATAAGTTACATCTAAAGAGTGACTATAAACTAAAGAATGGTAGAATCTAAACTAAAATAAGCCCATAAGGGTTTAAAGGAAAGAACTCGCAGTATTTTAGTGAAAAGACATCAATTTTACAATTAAGTATGCATGCATTCAACTGAAGAATTTAGTTGCAAATAGAATGAAATCTTTTGTTTTCTCAATTTAGTTCCAAATGAACGGTAAAAGAAAATACAGTTAGAAGTAATGGTGCTTGTTTCATGTTCACTGACTAGAGGACATAATTTATTGATATAAAAAAAAAAAGTCTTATCTTATAGTACAATGCATATAGAAAACTCAGTATCCAAGGACCTTTTGTTTGTGAAGTGGTTACAACGTTTTCCCTTAAAAACTAATTCTTTGTGGCAAAGTAAGATGAAGAGCAAGTACATACTGCAAAAAGATGGTTGGGATCTAAAATGAGAATTACTATGACCAGTGCTCCTGGAAAGCCATCTCTCACTTCTATGACCTTTTCATTCCTCTTAGGATGATGGCTCCCATACTTTCTTTCAGGATCACACTTGGATTGACAATCTGCTCTTTAGCGGAATCTGTAACAATCAGGAGACATCTGGCGTGATTTCCTTTACTTAACCTTCTTGAACCTTTTATTGCTTTTTCAATTCCTAATAGTTGAGTATGAACTTTGAGTTCTTTGGATGTTTATACCTGTAAATCCTTCTTCACCTGTCTCACCCACCAATCAAAATTTGGTCTTCACCAATCCTTTCCAGAAGGTAATTTCTCCTAAATTTAAAGATTCTGTCTGGATAGTTGTTCTTATTAGGCCCAAGACAAATTATCTGTTTCAACAGCCCCAATCATTTACTTTCCCATATGTGTGTTATGTGCTATAGGAACGCCTGAGTGTCAATTGTTACATTTTCTTTTTGCATTGTGATATGTCTTGGAAGCTCCGAATTAGGTTTCTTGATACTGTTGATGTAGGTTTCTCCCCTTTCTGCTTTATCTCTTCTTTCCTTGAGGATTTGGAAAGGAGGAGGAAAACTAATCGAGCTAAGAACTAAATTTTCTGGTTTATGGGAACTGTGGATCAAAAGAAATGTGAAGCTTTCAAAAAGTAAGTGTTTACTTCTTTCAATTCTCTGGGATTGAATGACCTTTCAGGCATCACCCTGTTAAGTCTCATAGGCATTTTAGATGTTTTCTTTGGCTGTTTCACATTTCTGTATTGATTTTTTTACATTTTACATTTCTCTTTCTTTTTCTCTTTTTCCTTTCTCTCTGCTTTAGGACAATCTCTTGTCCTCAGTTTATGTACTCCTATTCTTTTTCTCTCCAATAATACTTTCTTCATCCAAAAAAAAATGCAGAGGAAAAATGATAATTAGCAAGTGCACCTATAAATAACACATCAAATAATGTTAGAGAAAAACAAAAAGGGTGTAAGAAAAAACCTTGCATCGCACATCAATCTGATTGTCCTTGTCAAGATCAATTTTGGTAGGTTTTCCTGACATTAACTTATGCCCTATGGTTCCAGCCACACAATACCTAGAAAAGATACAAGAGAGTGAATAGAGAAAAAAAGGAAACCATAATAACTGGAACTCAGAACCTATCATATGCATCCATTCTTAAAATTTTCTAGTAATAAAGAATGACGTATTTATAGTACCATAAACATGGGAATCAACTGATTTTGCTTCTAAAAATTAGTGTGAATGTGTACTGTGAAAAGAAAATCAACAAGAAAACAATCACTCTCAGTCTCACAAATCACAATGACATGATGATGCTTGCATATTCCTAAAGAAAATGCTCAGAGATTTGTTTGGAATGGGAAAAATGCTTAGAGTTATACTGTGATTTACAGCAACTCCAGTGCAATCAAGAACTCATTACTCTGATAGGGAGATTTGACAATTACATTCTGTTGTACTAGATATTGTAGAAGAGAAAAATGCTTAGAGTGAAACTGTGGTTTACAGCAACTCCAGTGCAATCAAGAACTCATTACTCTGATAGGGAGATTTGACAATTACATTCTGTTGTACTAGATATCGTAGAAGAGAAAAATGCTTAGAGTGAAACTGTGGTTTACAGCAACTCCTACTTCAAACTAAGAATTCATTACCCTGATAGAGGGATTTGGCAATTACATCATGTAGGACTAGATATATTAGAATGATGCTCCTGTCTAGCACAAACCAATACCAGCCATGCCCATAGAAAAGGAAAATATACTCTTGTTCTTCCAGATCTTCAAATCTTGTGTCTAGGTTGTTCAAGAATTTGATTGAAGCCACTAAGAGACATTTTATCAAAGGATTATTGGAATGTCATCATTTTATAGTTATTTAGGTATTTGATGCTGCTGGTGAACCAATATACATTATGGACGACCCAACTAAACCAAACTATGACAAGCAAACTGATTGAGACCTCTGGAATTTCTGAACTTCTCAAAAAACTAGGAAATATCAAAGTGTGAAATAAAACCAATTCATATATAAAAGCTCTGCAGTAGTATATCTATGACTAATGCATGGTTTGAACCCATGAAATCAATAAAAGATATCAACCTTATGTTCTATGCTTGATCAAAGACAAAATAGTAACAATGACAATACCCAGGCAATGTAACAAGATTCATCTCAGAAGGAGCCCACTGCTTGAAAACCTGAAGTGAAAAACCACCGCTAATCATCCCAGGTGTGGCAAACAGAACACAAGGTCCAGGAGTATTTATTATTGAACGGTCAAAATCACGAACTGGACCATCCAAAAAGAGATTAATTAGAAAACACAATGAATCAGAGTAAAAAAATCATGTCATGAGATAGAATTCCTCAGCAGTTAAATATTCAAGTTACGTTAGAATGCTGCCTCATTTCTATTTCGTAAAAGAAATAAAGTTAGCATCCTACAAAATTGCAGAGGGTTAGCAAGAGACTGCAAAAAAGAACTGTCTCAAAGTGCTATAACTAGCAGAAGTATAGAAAACAAATTAATCATTTTGAAGAATCCTCTGAAACTAGAAGCTTCCTTCCCATTTTGTAAAGAAATACATCCTACAAAACTCCAGAGGGTTAGCAAGAGAATGCAAAAAGATAATTGTCTTAAAGTTCTATGACTAATAGAAGTACAGAAACCAAATTAATCACTTTGAAGAATCCTCTAAAACTAGAAGCTTTATGCAGGAGACAACACAAAGATAAGATCTGCTAAAATAGCTTGCACATGGTAACTTCCCAGAAACATCATTTTATAGTGAAAAATATAACTATCAAAATCTCTTCACCCAAATTTGAAGTTAAGCAGAAAATCATAATGTTCCATGTTTCCCAAATCATATACGCTTTGAAGGTGTAAAATGGATGATTATATTTTAATTTTCATATGTTGTATGCAGTATTCTGGATTGGGAAACAAACTTCATTGATGTAATGTGGAAGACAATCCAAAACATGCACAGCCGTAGGAGAGAGAAAACTTCCACCAAAAAGCAGAAGGATCAGTGTAAGGTATGCTCAAAGAAATATATATGGATGACAGAAACAATAACGCTTACAAGATTCAGTTTCTTTAAGTGGATTGTAGAGGATTCATATCCAGAGCAAATAAGTATTCATTCAATGTCCTCTACGATTATTTCTTTTTCCCATTTGGAAGAGATTTCAATTTTCAATCTCCTAATAAACGTAAACAGAATATTCCACAGGTCATGACTAGGAAATGATCTAGCAATTCTATCATATGACTAACTAATAAAATGTATCATGAAACTAAAGTTCAGACTAAACATGCTGACCAATTTGACATTCCCAGAGAATTATCCTATTTTGACATTCTAGGAATAGAAAAGAAAAGAGAAAGAAGTTAAGCAGCTTTATCTCACATATATTAAACTGATGAGAAATATAAATACCATTTTTAAAATCAAATGCATGACGTCCAGATGATGTCTCTTTAACATTCTGACTTGTCCAACTAATAAGCATTTTATAGTACATATTGGCTTGGATTGTCAAACCTGGAAAATGAGAATCTACATCATTAGAAAGAATAAGGAGAAATGAAGTGAAACTAAGATAATCTTCTCAGGAATCAATTAACAATCACTGTCCATGACAACAGTTCACCAATAATGGAACAGCAGTTCCTGATTATTTAAGGTGAGAAGCATGGAGTTCTTCTCAGATTTTTTTTTTTTGGGAGGTGGCATGGGGAGTAAAAAATCAGCCCTTGGGATTTCAACATAAACTTTTAGCTTGTTTTTTATTCAATTCTTACGTCGATTCCCAAATCGCAATTCTCATATTAGTTCTAATATTCACCACCATCACTTTGAATTCAGATTGAAAGTTGAATTCCCACCATCAGAGCATTTAAGGTAGGAGTTGATCCCTCACTATCAAAAAATTCGAAGTGGTGGTGGTGGTAACTTGACCACAATAAACTGCGTTCTAATTATATATAATAAGACTAATATGAAAATATAATTACGAACTAAATTGGAACTGAACCAAACACAGCATAATAGAAATAATTTTCTAGAGTGATATGCCAAAGGATGAAAGAAAATGAAAAAGGAAAATGATAGATCAGTCTAGGCAGGATGCTAGCTCAAGATAATATTCTTAACATCTACAATTTATAAATTGACCTTAATGCTTCTACATAACTGTCTTTTTATATTCGCGAAAACAAGTATTCTTCATTTCTTACAAATGTATGAGACACTATTTAGATCTTAATACTTGTCACTCATAATCCATATGTAGTAGTAAATTATCCCAAAAAAATTCAGCACTTTATTAACCATATTAATTATAAAAATAGTGCAAATGATTAAGAGATGAACAAAACGGCGGAGAGGCAAACCTGCTGAGAAGTAAATAGGAACCTGTAGATTCATGCGCTCCCAGTAATCATCCAACAACATACAGAGTTCCTGCACAAGGACTAATGAATTGTTAACAAAGTGCCAAGCAAGGATTACAGAGACCTTCCACGGTATTGGAAATTAGTTAACAATTAGGTAATAATTGTTCAACAAGGGAAACCAAGTGACTCATAGCCAACCAAGCAAAACAAGCACTGCCCTCTGGGATCAAAATCCAACCCAGTATAATTGCAGCCAGGTAAATGATAGCCAATCAAATTAAAAAAGCAAGCATTTCCCT